CCCCAAAACCCCAAAACCCCAAAACCCCAAAACCCCAAAACCCCTAATGTTGTCTTATAAATTGGTAGAATTAAAAATGGAGACAATGATTGCTACGAGTATTGATGATCTGAAAGACATCAAGAAATTTTATGAAGCGAAGCTAAAATCACAAATATCCTCTACAAAAACAATCACTTTCGTCTCTTTCTGTCGGACTTACTGCTGAGGATCTGACAAATCATGGAGAGACATCAGGATCTGAGGAGTCCTAGCAGTAATGATGGACAGGAGTAGGAAAGCAGCCCTTATACAGGTTTATAACACCTCATGAAAGAGCTCTGAGCTCGAACTCATTTTCGAAATCGAGATGTACATCAATTTCTCCCAAACTTTTAGTAGGCTTGACACTGCTGTGAAAAATATTGTCAGTTTTGTGTATCATCAAAGATATTTCGCCTTTGAGTTTCCAAATGAAAGCCAGGCGAAGTTCTTCATTAATGCTGTGAAATCTCTAGAAGAAACTGAGAAATCCTATAAAGAACTTAAGAATAAACTCAAGCAGCAGAATAAAAATATTGAGAAAGCCAATAAGAAAGGCGGCTTCTTCAGTGGCATTAAGAGCATCTTCAAAGGTAAGAAAAAGGTAGAGCAACCCAAAGTTACTGGATTTAAGAAAGAGCAGGGGATTAGCATGAACCAGTTCCTTATTGAGACCACTAATGTCTCTCCAGAGATTAAAGATTCTTATGTTAAGGTTATGCAACAGAAATTGGAAAATGCTGGAATTAAGAAGAAACATCTTAAAGACCCGAAGTTTAGAAAAGAAGTCGAGAATATTATTAAGGAACATGAAGCAGAACTGACCACAAATCAGGCTATGGGAGGGGGATTTAATGATCCAAATGAAGAAATTAAAAATCCCGATGATATAGTTAAGCCAAAATCTCAGTCTGTTCCTACTAATTTAGCCCCTCCTCCACCACCAGCTCCTGGACCGACTGGTGGAGGAGTTCCTCCTCCACCAGGAGGTATTCCAGGTCCTCCAACCCCGATTTCTTCGTCAGGAGCTCCACCACCACCTCCTGCTCCTTCTGGAGGGATGAAGGCTCCTCCTCCACCTCCTGTTGTCAACATGACTAGGACAAAGGATGAAGAAGTAGTACTTAAAGATGCTAGAAGTACACATATAGATAAGCCAGAAGATTCTAGACCAATGAGCTTACTGGAGGAACTCCAGAATGTCCAGCTGAAGCCAGCCAGTCGTGTTGGTAATCCACTTGATTCTGCTCTATTTTTATCTCTATGTCTGGTTGCTAACTTTTCTGTTTAGAAAAACCCAAAGAAGATAATATGGAGAGTAAATTACAAGATCTACTCAATGCCAGGAGAGAGCAACTGCATAAAGATGGTAATTCTAGTGAATCAGACTGTGATGATGATGAATCAAGTGATGAATTTGACTAAGTGTCCATACAAAATTTGTAGTTGAGGTTTCAGTTGAGGTAACTGATGAAGGGGTTTTGGGGTTTTGGGGTTTTGGGGTTTTGGGG